GTGAAACTCTGTCTCTTAAAAAAAAAAAAAAATCAAATGCTGATGCTAGGAAAGTAACAATTCTGTCTGCTATAGTTTTTAGACAAAGAAAATATGTATTTGGCTCGGTGCCTAAAGCTCAGCAGCTAGGCTCCAGCCACATACACCAGAGCTGGCAGGTTCCAACCCAGCCTGGGCCTGCCAAACAACAATGACAATTATAACAAAAAAAAAAAAGCTGGGTGTTATGACAGGCACCTGTAGTCCCAGCTACTTGGGAGGCTGAGGCAAGAGAATCACTTAAGCTCAGGAGTTTGAGGTTGCTGTGAACTGTGACACCACAGTACTCTACTGAGGGCAACATAGTAAGACTCTGTCTCAAAAAAAAAGAAGATATGAATCTGCAGCTCCTGGTGGCCATTCTTCCTGCCACATAGAGCAACAAACAACTGAATCCAGATCTGGAGCGAGAGCCCTGGTGAGAATGTGGGAGCCAAAGACCCAGTTAACATTACTCAAACACACATCATCAGAGCTTGAGAACAATGAAATCAAGCCATAATGACCTTCAGGGTCCAGCGAGGCCTCAAGTCAACTTTGCTTTCCCCTGTGTTTCCCAGTTACAACAGCTAATAAACTTCTCTTCTTACCTCACTCTTTTGAGTTGAGAATCTGCCACCTGATATCAGTTAAGAGATTTGGGTTAAATCCTACCTGCATATATTTCATAGGAGGGGGTTTGGCTTTGAGATTCCAAGCAGTCAATGCAAATAGAGAAACACAATGAGTTAGGAAACTCAATATCGATAAACCAAAATTCCTTCCACAGATGGTCATTTATGTGGAGGATACTGTGCTTGAGCCTATGTGGCAGGAATATGGGAGATTATTTACTTCCATGTATTTTCAACTTTCACGTTTCCAAAAATATCAATAAATAGAAAGGCCTTTGTAAATGGACAGAGGGCAGCAACAGACATTGTGTAATGTGATTAACAGTGTCCTGAACACTTTCCCTAAGGGAGTGATTCTCAGAGAATGATTGGGCAACACCTGGAAGACCCAAATCACTGCAGGGCATTCATAGGTAAAAACTGTATTCAGAATAATACTAAGACATTGCACTTGCCATTCCCATGAGCTCAATAGTATACAGTGAAGTTCTCTAGAAGTTTACATGGTATGTGACATCACAACACACTGATAAAGCAAGTATCAGAATCTAGTCACCTTCTAAGAAAGCCAGATGTTAAAAAGATTAGCAAAAGTGTAGAATAATGCCTCTCTTCTCAGTAATCTTTTCATTAACGATTACTTTTCATTAAAAAGCTATTTATTGGCCAGGCATGGTGGCTTACACTATAATCCTAGCACTCTAGGCCAAGATAGGTGGATTCCTTAAGCTCAGGAGTTAGAGATCAGCCTGAGCAAGATGATCCCATTCTACTAAAAACATAGAAAAAACTAGCCAGGCTTTCTGGTGGATGCCTATAATCCCAGCTACTGGGGAGGCTGAGGCAAAAAGATTGCACAAGCCCAAGAGTTTGAAGATGCTGTGAATGACAATGACGCAAGGGCGTAAGAACGAGACTCTATCTCAAAACAAAAAATGCTGACTCAGTGCCCGTAGCACAGTGGTTATGGCGCTGGCCACATACACCAATGGTGGCGGGTTCGATCCCGTCCCAGGCCAGCTAAACAACAATGACAACTGCAACAAAAAATAGCAGGGCATTGTGGCAGTGCCTATAGTCCCAGCTACTTGGGAGGCTGAGGCAAGAGAATTGCTTAACCCCAAGAGTTTGAGGTTGCTGTAAGCTGTGATACTATGGTACTCTACCCAGGCAACATAGTGAGACTCTGTCTTAAAAAATGAATAAATAAATAAATAACAAAAAAAGCTACCAATATTAAAATGAAATGAGTTTATTGAACGAATTAGCATAGTTTCTCAATTTTAATTTCTAATACAGTAAATAACAATATATTTTAGTTGTATAAACAAAAGCTCTTTGAGGTCCCCAATAATTTAAGAGTGTAAGGGGTTCTGAGACCAGGAATTTTGAGAACTTTACCCTAGGTTACATGTAATTGTCAGTTTCACTTCATATCCAAGATGGAAAATTCTGAACAACGAAGAGAAATGCACTAACTGTATGTGGGAAGGTGACAAAAGTGTTCTAAAATTGACTGTAGCAATAGGTTCATAGCTCTTGAATATATGAATAATCATTTATTGTACACTTTACATGGGTAAATGATATGGTATATGAATTTTATCTCAATAAAGATGTTTTTTTTTGAGACATAATCTCACATTGTCGCCCCGGTAGAGTGCCCTGGCATCATAGCTTACAGCAACCTCCAACTCTTAGGCTCAAGCAATTCTCTTGCTTCAACCTCCTGAGTAGCTGGGACTACAGGCGCCTTCCACAACACCCAGCTATTCTTAGAGATGAGGTCTCACTGTAACTCAGGCTGGTCTCAACTCATGAGCTCAGGCAATCAGCCCACCTCAGCCTCCCAAAGTGCTGGGATTACAGGCATGAGCCACGGTGACCTGCCTCAATAAAGCTGCTTTTAAAGTTATCACCAATAAAATTTATTAAGGAAAAAAAAAACAGGGCTCAGTGGCTGACACCTATAATTCTAGCACTCTGGGAGACTGAGGCAGGTAGATCACCTGAGCTCAGGAGTCTGACACCAGCCTGAGCAAGAACAAGACCCCATCTCTAAAAAACTAGCCAGGAAGGCCTTGTATCTGACGCCTATAGACCTAGCTACTCATGAGGCTGAGGAAAGAGGAGCACTTGAGCCCAAGAGTTGAAAGTTCCTGTGAATTATAATGCCATGGCACTCTACCAATGGCAACAAACTGAGAGATTCTATCTCAATTAAAAAAAATAAAAAGGAAAGAGTTTGTCTCAATTGATCATTACCAAATAAATCAATAACACACCTATCAAAATATATGACAAAATGCTCAACATCTCTACTCACTAGGAAAATAAAAATCAAATCCACAATGAGATAGATATCACTTCCTACCTGTTTGAATAGCTATTATCAAAAACACAAAGGATAGGCTGGGCAAAGTGGCTCACGTCTGTAATCCTAGAACTCTGAGAGTCTGAGGTGGGAAGATCTCTTGAGCTTAGGAGTTCAAGACCAGCCTGAACAAGAGAGACCCTATCTACACTAAAAAGAGAAAAAATTACAGCTGGGCACAGTATCTCACACTTGTAATCCTAGTACTCTGGTAAACCAAGGCAGGTGGGTTGCCTAAGGTCACAGGTTCAAGACTAGCCTGAGCAAGAGTGAAACCGCTTCTCTAAAAATAGCCTGGTGTTGTGACAGGCGCCTATAGTCCCAGCTACTTTGGAGGCTGAGGCAAGAGAATCACTTGAGCCCAAGAGTTTGAGGTTGCTGTGAGCTCTGATGCCACACTCTACCAAGGGCAACAAACTAATACTCTGTCTCAAAATTAAATTAAATTAAATTAAAAAACAAAAGCAGCTGGGCATAGTGACAGGCGCCTATAGTCCCAGCCTACTTGGGTGGCTGAGGCAAGAGAATCACTTGAGCCCAAAGAGTTTGAGGTTGCTGTGAGCTATGATACCATAGCACTCTACCAAGGGTGACAAAATGAGACTCTGTCCCAAAAAATAAAAAAAAAAAAGGAACTTCTGTCATTTGTAGCAACATGGATAGAAGTTGAGGACAGTATATTAAGTGAAATAAGCTAGGCAAAGAGAGACCAATACTATATGATCTCACCTGTATGTGAAAGCTTAAAAAGCCAATCACATAGAAACAGAGTAGAAAAGCTGATACCAGAGACTTGGAAAGGGATACAAAAGGCAGAATGTTGATCAAAGAATACAAAGTTTCAGTTAGACTACAGGAATAAGTTTTAGTGATCTATTACATTGTATTGTGACCACAATTAATGATAATATATTTCTATATTTCAAAATTGCTATAATAACCATTTAATGTTCTCACACACAAAAATGATAAATTGGTTAGGTGGTAGATATTTTAATTATCTTTATTGAGCTTTTCTACAATGTATGCATAGATCTAAACATCACATTATACCACATAAATATACACAATTATGTCAATTAAAAATAAAAAATTTAAAATAGAATCTGTGCCAAATAATTCACAAAAATGAAAATTTAAAAAAAAATTCCTATCACAAATAAGAACCCAACAAATATGTTATCAATAAATAATGTTATGAAATCAGAAACAAAAAAACTGACCAATGACAAATGTGCAGGAAAACACTAAAGTATATGAGAAAAAAAAATTCTTTACCTTCCAAGAGTTTTTGACATGATGTATTCATCTCTTAATTCCTTAGGATAAACTGATTGATCATCTACAGTCAGATCAAAAAATACAAAAACTAAGGGGAAAAAGGGCAGAAATAGGTTTCATTAATCTATTGCAAAAGAAAAATTGATTCTAAATTTAATATTTATATGGCATAGAAGATAGTTGTTTAATTACACTTAACATGTAACCCTACAGGAATTACTTAGGCAGGCTAACATAAATTATAAAACTGAGAAATGATAGTCAAATTTCATCCTTCAACGGAACTACACAGCATTGCTCTAACTACAGCGTTGCTCTAACTACAGCGTTGCTCTAACTACAACACCCAAAATCTATAATGTAACTGCTATTCATATTCATTGACAATTGCACTAATATGAAATACCCATGCAGATTACCTCAGGCCCAAATCAAAAATCTACTAGTCTGAGACCAGGCAAAGTGGCTCACACCTATAATCCTAGCATTTTGAGAGGCTGAAGTGGGAGTATTGCTCAAGATCGGGAGTTGGAGACCAGCTTAAATAAGAGCTAAAATCAGTCACCTGGCTCTACAGAAAACAGAAAAATGAGCTGGGTACAGTGGTGGGCAACTATAATCCCAGTTACCAGGGAGACTGAAGCAGGAGGATTGTTTGAGGCCAAGAGTTTGAGGTTGCAGTGAGCTATGATGACACCACTGTACTCTAGCTAAGATTTAAAAAAAAAAAAGGCAATTAGTCTAATCCTAGAAAAAAATGTTCTAGGCAAGTAAATAGCCCAATAAAAATTAGATCATAAGTCACCATACTAGTATTATTTTGTCTTACACTTATGTAACTGTTTTTTGCTTTTTTTTTTTTGAGAGTCTTATTTTGTCAGCCTTGGTAGAGTGTTGTGGTGTCATAGCTCACAGAAACCTCAAACTCTTGGGCTCATGCAATTCTCTTGCCTCAGCCTCCCAAGTAGCTGGGACTACAGGCACTCGCCACAATGCCCAGCCTGGCTATTTTTTAGAGACGGTCTTACCCTTGCTCAGGCTGGTCTCAAACTTGTGAGCTCAGGCAATTCCCCCTGTGAAAATATGGTTTTTCACAGTGCAAATCATCTTGAAGTTATTTGTAAAATTAGATAAATAGCATTTTCTTTTTTTTGAGATAGTTTCATTTTGTCGCCCTTGGCAGAGTGCCGTGATGTCATAGCTCACAGCAACCTCAAACTCTTGGGCTCAAGCAATTCTCTTGCCTCAGCCGCCCAAGTAACTGGCACTACAAGTGCCCGCTACAATGCCCGGCTATTTTTAAAGACGTGATCTCACTCTGGCTCAGGGTGGTCTCCAACCTGTGAGCTTAGGCAATCCACCCGCCTCAGCCTCACAAGTGCTGGGATTACATGTATGAACCACCAAGCCCAGCTATAAAATTAGATAACCACATTTTCTAAACAAATCCCCTTTTTACTTCTCTACTCATTATTCAGTCTATATCTCAGCAAAAAGAAAATAACTAAGTAACTAAAAGAACTATTCTTTTTTAATAATTTAACCACACACACAGGCCAAGCCTGCAATAAGTTATCAAATATTTCAATTCTACAAAGTTATCAATGGTAAATTTGCAACTGCCTATAACATGTTGAAAGAATAAAATTTGTTAAGACCCTCAAGTTTCTCACATTTCAGGTGAGAGGTTTGTTGTTGTTGTTGAAATGGGGACTTGCTATGTTGCCCAGGCTAGACTTGGATTCAAGTCATCTTCCCACTTCAGCCTCTCGAGTAGCTAGACTACAGACACAGGTGCCACTGTGCCTGACTGGTGATAGGTTTCAACCTCCCTACAACAACCTAAAGATTCAGTATGAGTCTCTGGCACAAATCTAAGTCACCAGAGTATACTTCATTCCAGGCTGGTACACAAGATGCAAATACTTGTCTAGTGATTGAGACCTACTGGTCACCTAGGTATAACTGCCCCTCTATGCTTATGGCTATTTATGAAAGTGTATGTTCCAGTGGCAATGGAGAGTCTGGGAATTTGAGGGGCTATGGTGATATATTTCTCCCAACTGTCAACAAGGTCTACTTCAGGGACTGCAAACTCAAGTGTCCATCCAAGCCAGGAAGTTAATACACAAAGGCCATGCTGGGTTAACAAACAGGGTCTTGGGGATTGCGGGGCGGGGGGGTCAGATCAAAGGAGGGCAAATGGTGGGATCATACCTATGGTGCAAGGGTACATGTCAGATCTATTAGTATAGAGTATAAATGTCTTAACACAATAATTAAGTAAACAAGGCTCTGCCAGTGCCTATAGCTTAGGCAGCTAGGGCGCCAGCCACATACACTGGAGCTGGCGGGTTCGAATCCAGCCCAGGCCCACCAAACAACGATGACAACTACAACCAAAAAAAGCACCTGTAGGTCAATGGGCAGGACACCAGCCCCATATACCAAGGGTGGCAGGTTCAAATGCAGCCCCGGCCAAACTGCAACAAAAAAATAGCCAGGTGTTGTGGCAGGCACCTGTAGTCCCAGCTACTCAGGAGGCTGAGGCAAAAGAATCGCCTAAGCCCAGGAGTTGGAGTTTGCTGTGAGCTGTGTGATGCCACGGCACACAACTGAGGATGACAAAGTGAAACTCTGTCGCTATATAAAAAAAAAAAATAGCTGGGATTGTTGTGGCAAGCACCTATAGTCCCAGCTACTTGGGAGATTGAGACAAGAGAATCACTTAAGCCCATGAGTTTGAGGTTGCTGTGAGCTATGACGCCACAGCACTGTACCCAGGGAGACAGTTCTAGACTGTCTCAAATAATAATAATAATAATAATAATAACAATAATTAAGTAAACGAGACAAGGCATATATTAACCAGTGTGATGTAAGCATTCCTAATTCTATATGAAATCAGCACATTGTACCCCATAAATGCATTAATGTATACATGATCTATGTGTTTATGATTTAATAAAACAATTTTTAAAAAAAGAAATAGGGTCCTGAAAGACAAAATACATCTCCCATCTAAAGGAAGAAGCCTCTATTCAGTGCCTGCAGTCCCCAAGTTGTGAGATTGTGGGATCACTGTGGCCAGAGATTCCAACTTGTCTAAGATATTTAGGTTTACATATTATTGTTATAAATACCAGCAAATGCCTAATAAAATGTCAACAGGCCAAATTGAGTCTACAGGGTACCAGTCTGATCAGCTTTAATCATGGTTAGCCTATGTGACATCTTTGTTCAAATTAGAAAAGATCAAGAGATTTATCGTACAACATCATCACTACAGTTATGTTTTAAATTCTTGAAAATCAGCTAACAGAGTAGATTTTAAGTGTTCCTCTCACAAAAAATGATAAGTGAGATAACACATGTTAGCTCAGTTGGCCATTTCACACTACATATTTCAATCTATCTTTTTATATAAGTACATACAACTTTCATTTGTTAATTAAAATAAATTAATTGGTTTTTTTAATGTTTAATAAGAAACAAAGAAATGTGCTCTTTGGACAGACCAAGGAGAAAAAGATATCACACAAGAATGTTGAGTAGAAGGGGCTGGGCACAGTGGCTCACATCTGTAATCCTAACACTTGGGGAGGCCAAGATGGGTGGATTGCTTGAGCTCACAAGTTTGAGACCAGTCTGAGCAAAAGCAAGCCCCTGTCTCTACTAAAAATAGAAAAACTGAGACAAGAGGATTGCATGAGCCCAACCAAGAGTTGGA